AATGTGCTTTATTGGGATTTTATGTGATAGACCAACAAAAGTGGCACATAATTGTGAAGTGGAAGCAAAATGATAAATGGTTCTCAGACATTTTTACAAATAAATATCTGAAAGGTGTGGTGTGCATTTGTATTCAGCCTCACTGAGTCAATACTTTGTAGAACCAACTTTCGCTGCAATTACAGCTGCGAGTCTTTTTGGGGATGTCTCCACCAGCTTTTCACATCTAGAGGGTGAATTTTTGCCCATTCTTCTTTTCAAAATAGCTCTAGCTCTGTCAGATTGGGTGGAGAGCTTCTGTAAACAGCAATTTTCAACTCTTGCCACAGATTCTCAATTGGATTTAGGTCTGGACTTTGACTGGGCCATTCTAACACATGAATATGCTTTGATCTAAACCATTCCATTGTAGCTCTGGCTGTATGTTTAGGGACGTTGTCCTGCTGGAAGGTGAACTTCCTCCTCAGTCTCATGTCTTTTTCAGACTCTAGCAGGTTTTCTCCTACGATTGCCCTGTATTTGGATCCATCTTCCCATCAATTCTGACCAGCTTCCCTGTCCCTGCTGAAGAAAAGCATCTCCACAACATGATGCTGCCACCACCATGTTTCACGGTGGGGATGGTGTGTTCAGGGTGATGTGCAGAGTTAATTTTCCACCACGCATAGTGTTTTGCTTTTAGGCCAAAAAGTTCAATTTTGGTCTCATCTGACCAGGGCACCTTCTTCCACATGTTAGCTGTGTGTGGCTTCTCGCAAACTGCAAACGGGACTACTTATAGCTTTCTTTCAACAAAGCCTTTCTTCTTTCCACTCTTCCATAAAGGCTAGATTTGTGGAGTGCACGAGTTAAAGTTATCCTGTGGACAGATTCTTCCACCTGAGCTGTGGATCTCTGCAGCTCCTCCAGAGTTACCATAATGTGGTGATTTTTGGACTCCTTATTAAAGAAAATAATATTCCCCAAAAGAAAATTATAAAACCAGCTGTTATATGTCAACAAGAATTTGAAACCTCAAATGACCTGTCTAGGAAGCCATCCTAAACAATGGACATTGAATGGAAAAGACCTGTTTAAAATACAATGCAATCAAACAGACTACCTTGAAACTGCACATCGCAAGCAAAAGAAGGTATAAATGACAATTGTGGGACTCTCTTCGTATTTACATACAGCTTTAGGAGACCTTGCAGAAATTTACTCGCCAAACAAGCCCACCAGGATGTCACAATTGTCTATTGAGAGCAAGAAGGTCAGTGAATCAGACTTCTTAACCACTTCCCGACCAGCCGTTGTATATAAACAGCCGGACGGTGGCAGTGCAGGGTCGGGTGGCCGTTTATAAACGGCCTCCCCGCACCCTGCTTGTGCGCGCTCCCTGGGAGCGCGCAGCACCGCGATCCGGTGCCCGCTGTGTCCTCCGGACACAGTGAAACACCGATCATCGGACGGGACCTCTGTACGAGGTCCCGATCATGTGATCACTGATTGGCCAATCAGTGATCACATGCAAAGTAGCAAGCAAGATGTCACTTGTGACATCATTGCTTACTATGTGTGAATTCTGTGAATGATCACAGACGTCACATGGTACAAGGCTATTCACAACAGCCTTGTACCCTGTGACAAGCTGTGACCAATCACAGTTCACTCTGTATTTTTCAATGACTGCAAGAATGCAGACAGAGAGAAAGAGAAATGATTGCTTTTACATCCTATATGGGTGTAAAAGCAATCAGTGTAAAAAAAAAAAAAAATCTTCATCACCCCTCACAAGTAGTACAGTGTCACCATGGTGACACTGTACTGCTAGGGTGACAGTATGCAGAAAAAAAAAATAAAAAATAATAATATAAAAAAATAAAAATGTAAAAAAAAAATATTTAAAAATTATAATTTTTGGTTATAAACTAATTTGGATTTTTTTTTCACTAAAAAGATAACAGAATAAATTTTGGCCAAGATTTATGATGAAATATTATTTATTTGCAAAATTAAAAAAAAAAAACCAATTTTTTTTCAAAATTTTTGGACTTTATCATTTATATAGCAAAAAAAAATAAAAATCCCAGCAGTGAATAAATACCACCAAAATAATGCTTTATCTGTCTCAAAAAAATGGTAAAAAATTCATTTGTGTACAGTGTGGCATGACCGCGCAATTGTCATTCAAAGTGTGATAGCGCTGAAAGCTGAAAATTGCCATGGTCAGGAAGGGGGTAAAAGTGTCCGGTCTGGAAGTGGTTAAGGAAACTCAACTGAATGTTTACTATGATTACCAAACAATAGGGCTTGTTAACTGGAGACTTCCTAAAGCCACATCTCCCTGAATCTTGCACTCAGCTCATGAGGAAAGACTTCAGTTAATATATAACAAAAGGCTCGAATCTTACTCAATGGAAATATTATTAAAGTCATGGGTATATACTAACTCAATTTAATAAAGTTGGATACTACATATCACTTAACTGAATATCATGAAGTCATAAGGATATATGAGATGGTTTGGGTAAAATATCTTTCACCATAAAGATGCAACAACAGAGGTGTCTACATCAAGATGTAGAGAGAGGTGGCATATATAGCATGATGGACTGGAATTAAGCGTACAAGATCTAACTAAATACCATAACAAATTATGGAATTATTATACGGAGATCCGCCATTTTCAGGATCAGACATGAAAACACAGATCTCATATCAGGAAGATGAGCCGCTAAAAATATACTAATATATATATATATAGGCCTTATTAAAAGAGATATTGGGTAAAGCCAATTTCATACCTCAACAGGACACAGAAGTTTTATCAATAGAGACACACTTCAGATAAAAGATGAGTCATCATTAAGGTCACTATTTCATTCATGGTACTTGACTGCCCCCGATGGACAGGTAAAGAACTTTCAGATTAAACAACATTCTAACCGTCCAATCGTCAAACCCCATGGGAGGTTTTATGGGACAATGGACATGTACCATATATAAATATGCGAGACCCTCAAGACAAAACACTCTGCCTGATAGATACAATATACAGGAGACTCTTGCTGATATACAAAAAGACAAAAAAGAACAATACAACTCGTATTGCTTAGAACTCTTCCTGCTGCTGAAAACGTGAAGAAAAGACCAACTTTAAAACCACTTGGAAAAAGCTTGAAACAGAAACCCTGCTCTGCTATATTTTTTTTTAAGAATTTATTTTGAGAAGAAGCCTTTCGTCAAAGAAGAGACTTTTTGCTGCTGATCCCAATTTTTGTTCCTGGCTGATAAGAGACATTTTTTTTACCAACTATCATCCCACCAGAAGACCTCAGAAAATGTAATTCTGGGAGTGGTGAGAACTGTATCAGAACATCATAACTTTTATATATTTAAAACTGACTAGAGCTTTAATCATATTTCATTGTGTTGCTTAGCGTAATATTGCACATATCTATATAATTTGCATGGGGGGGACTCTATTTACTAATTAGGTGACTTCTGAAGGCAATTTTTTTTTTTTTTTTAATTTTGAAAAACATTTATTATTTTCCTTCCATTTCACAATTATGGGCCACTTTGTGTTGGTCTATCACATAAAATCCCAATAAAATGCATTTACATTTTTGGTTGTAACATGACAAAATGTGGAAAATGTTAAGGGGTATGAATACTTTTTCAAGGCAATGTAGTTAAGCTAGGTTCAAACCTATGCAGTTTGCGTTTGATTTGTTTCTGAAGTGCTTTTTGCTGTGCATTTTGCATTTTCTAACGCGTTTTTATACTTTTTTATGCATTTTGTGTTTTGCGTTTTTTTTTGGACAATTTGTTGTTGGGCAGATTAAAAATACAATACACATTAAAAATGCGCTATGTTAATTTCTGCAGTGTCTCCATTTGTCTATTGAACCAAAACGCACCATTTTGCATTTAAAAAAGTCCCTGACCCTTTGCAATTATTGCACTGGTTGAAAACATGCAGATGTTAACTTTACCCATAGGAAATCATGTTAAATGGACTGTAGTGCATTTCTGCATAATGTAAAACACACCTCAAAAACACTTAGGTGTGAACCTAGCCTTAAAGATGCAGATTAAATACAAAGAACACAAGAACAATTTCCAAAATTTTGGCAAAACTGAGTTTTATAGAACATTTGTTAGCTCATTACATGAAAGTAAGGTTAATAATATAACTTAGATTACAAAATCTTCAGTTTTCTTCAAATTTGTTGATGCAAAAATGAATAAACCCCACAACAAAAACTACTACTAGTATTTTGTATTACCTCCATGATTTGTAAAGACAACACCAAGTCTTCTAGGCATAGAAAGAACAAGTTGGCGATATATTGCAACATCTATCTTTTCCATTCTTCAGGAACGACCTCTTTTAGAGCCTGGATGCTGGATGGAAAGTGATGCTCAACTTGTCTTCAGAATTCCCCATAGGTGTTTGACTGGGTTCAGATCAGGAGACATACTTGGCCACTGAATCACTTTCATCCTGTTCTTCTTCTTCAGAAATGCACTAGTGGCCTTAGATGTGCATTTTGGATCATTGTCATGTTGGAAAAGTGCACAATGACCAAGGGCATGGAGTGATGGTAGCAACTTCTCTTTCAATATAGAGCAGTACATCTGTGAATTCATGATACCATCAATAAAATGCAGCTCCCCAACACTAGCAGCACTCATGCAGCCCCACAGAAGAACATTGCCACCACCATGTTTTACTGTAGGCACCATGCATTTTTCTTTGTACTCATCACCTTTTTGCGATACCATACAGTTTTGAAGCCTTCAGTTCCAAAAACATTTATCTTGGTCTCACCACTCCAGAGTACAGAGTCCCAGTAGTCTTCTTTTTCATCATGGGCCCTGGCAAATTCTAGGTGGACTTTTTTGTGCAAGGGCTTTAGGAGAGGCTTCCTTTGTGGATGACACCCATGCAAGCCATTCCACTGCAGTGTATGCAAGATAGGGTCACGGGAAACAATTACCCCAGTTTGACTTTCTACTTCTTTAGCTAACTGCAGTGAACTTGCATGATGATTTTCTTCAACCCTTCTCATCAGAAGACGCTCCTGTCGAGGTGTTAACCTCAGTGGACAGTGTTGACTAGGTTACTTGTATTTGTGAATACACCCCAATCCTTGTAGGAGTATTTACATATATCCAGCTAGATCTGAGAGTTCCTACACAAAAGAGGTAGTTCCATCTGAAATATACATTTATTGATAGAGGTACATAATATATACAAAATTACTCGCTAAGCAGTATTTACAACACAATGTACAGTTTAAGTCTCTTGACTTATACGATATTTACAATTTACCCACAAAACCATGTTTAAATACAATGTAAAATACAGGTATGAAGTTAGTTACCTCTCAACTTCAGGTCTGCTCATGCTGCCTGCTGGGCGTCCCAGCACAAAGAGATCTCCAGCTGGGTGACCAGGCCTTATATCACACCCTCCTGCCTGTACTGTGGCTAATATAATGCTCACTAATTGGACAATGTACCTAGCCAATCTATATTGGGCACAGCTTGGAAGTTCAAAGAAGGCTGCTGTTTACCCCTCATGTGGGATATGCTAAGGGGACAACATAAGGCCAGAACTTGTATAGTGGAAAACTCTATATATATTTACGCCAGTATGGAAGCTAGAAAGTTTTGATGCTGCAAAACACTCAATGGTTTAAATACTGTATATTTCCATCTCACTAAAATATACTTGTAATTATAACATTACTTACATCCATTAATGGAGATTTCACATAAACTAATTAGCTAACAATGGCCTGGATGTCTCTGTGAGATAGTTGCAGTTCCATCTTTGTTAAATTTTTGTAGCACTTTTGTTACAGTATTCTGACTGATAAGTAAAGCTTTGCTGATCTTCTTGTAGCCTTCACCTTTCTTGTGTAAAGAAATTATTTTCTTTCTCAGGCCTTGTGACATTACTCTTCCATTTGGTGCCATTGCTGATGTCATGAAATGGGAAGGGGTTTTTTTTGTAAAGTACCGCCCTTTTATAATCACCTGTCTGCTGGACACCTGTTTAATTAGCCTCACCTGTAGTTGAATTCTTGTTAATTAGGATTTTGTTGTCTAAAATTTAGCTTTGCTCCTAGGACTCCCATTGGGGTGCATTCATTTTTGCAACATGGTCTTGAATTAATTTGTTAAAAAAAAATGTTTTTGTGTGTGCAAATTAACAAATCTTGTTTGCAATCAATGGACTGTGAAGAAGTGAAGTGTATGAATCTTGCACAATAAAAATGGTACAATTATTAAGTAGAAAAACAAAATGACAACTAATAATCTTTCAACATGGAACAGCGCATCTCAAGCCGTAAAAGGGCAACCAGTAGTAACTTGCATTGGAGCATAGGGGAAGCAGCATCCTCTGTTTTATGAGGCCACCTCTGGGAAAATTTGGGTGCAGGCTTTGGTGGCAATTGGCTGCAGCCACTGCTCAGCATAATCTGACAGCAAAAACTGGCAGTTCAATGTCCACCAGAGGGGGGGAGCTGATAAAAAAACAAACAAAAAACAAACAGATTCCCCATCCACACAAGTGAGATGGATGGAGGAATCATTCCTGCTCCGGTATTGTATTATGACAGCAGGGACATTCCACTGTCAGAATACACCATGCTTAGTGCTGCAGCTAATTGGTTGCATGTACTGATCGAATGAAAATTTTCCAACATTCCAGTCCAAGAGAATAAAATCTTTAGATTGTCTTCTCTTGAGCAGGAACGGCCACAGATGGAATGAAATTCAGCTGGTCCCTGCTGAACTGGACGATCCATCTATGGCCAACTTTTAGCAGGGTATGCATGGACTGAAAATTGGCCGGTTCAGCAGGACCCAGATGACTTCTGGTGTTCAGCATAAGCAGGTCTAATGTCCAACTTCTGTCGAACAGTCATGCTGGAAAACCAGCATTTGATCAGTCCTTGCAGCCTATGGCTGCAAACAATGATCTGTGTATTCTAACAGGAGGGGAGGCCGTCAGTGGGGGAGATACCTGCATCACACATTGTTTTGCTGCAGGGATCTGTCAGATTTTTTTTTTGTTCAACTTATGGATTGAAGGAAAGAAAATTACTTGATTCCCCCATCAACACTGACTGTGTGATCGCTCCAGAAGTGCTCTTGTCTTCTGCCAGTGGGGGGCCTTTCTCACCAGCAGAATACAATGATCACTGCTAGCGGCTATAGCCACTGACCGTGATCGTACAAAAAAATGACAGGCTGGGTGTACTGACATCAGTTGATAGCCTGCCTATAGATGCACTGAAATGCTGTTCCTGCTGAACCAGCCAAATGTCAATCTCTCTATGGCAGGCCTTTGGCAAGCCATAGATGATGCAATTTTCTGTCAACACAGTCAGTGTTGATGCTGCAATCCCTCCCAAAGTGCTATTGAGTTCTGCCAGCGGCTTAGCCATGGGCAGTAATCACATGCAAAAAACCCCACAGGCTCAATGGATTGACTTCAGTACAACCAGTCTGCCCATAGATGAATTGAATGGTTGGTACCTGCTGAACCAGCCAAGATTCAATCAATCTATGGCTGTCTTTAGGCTTTAGCTGGAATTCTACTTTAAATCTGTGTACACCCAGCTTTAGTGTATATAAAAAGACACTGCAGCAGCAACTACTGTGATATTTACAGAAGATACAGTAGCTGCCAAGGCAGATAACATTGTTTGACAGGTCAGCTCACAGTAACTGCATTTCTGGCAAGATCAGCGGGTGTTTTCTGCATTTGCTAAAAATTTTCTTAGCTTAACCACTTGCCTGCCACCCAGGGGCGGACTGACAACTCATGGGGCCCCCGGGCAATAGGGGATCATGGGGCCCCTGTGTCCTTGCCCAAACTCAAAAAAGCCTATGAAAAAGGTACCAGGGGCATCTCATGGGGCCCCCTACTGACCCCGGGCCCTTGGGCAGTGCCTGAGTTTCCAAATGGTCAGTCTGCCCCTGCTGCCACCTTATAGTAGAAGTGCTGCTACAGGGCGGCAGGGCTGCGCAAAATCACATATATATACGTGATTTGCATTTACGGGTAGGGGGAGCAGTGCCGCCCTACCCATGCCACTATTGGCAGCTAGAGATGTCGATCACCAGGTCCCGTCTGGCAATTCCCAGCCGGTACTTGGTGATCGTTGGAGAAAGCTGACAGGAGAGAGACCTGTGTGTAAACAACAGAGGTCTCTCTCCTGTCAGCAAGGACATGCTACTTTGTATCTCTCTGCACAGCAGAGAAATACAAAGCAGCATGTCTCTATAGTAAAACACACACAGCACATAATGTGAAACATACAGAGCTAAACCTTTGATTGCCCCAGATGCTAACCCCTTCCTGCCCAGTGTCATTAGTACAGTGCTTTTTATTAGCACTGATTTATTTTATTTCATGTACTTTTATAGCATTGTCAATTTACACAGTGTTTTACATATATATATATTGTACATTCATAGCAGTTCCTAACCCTCAAGGGGCGTACAATCTAAGGTCCCTAATTTGCATTCATACATACACATACTAGGGACAATTTAAACAGGAGCCAATTCACCTACCTGCCTGTCTTTGGATTGCTGGATGAAACCCATGCAGGTACAGGGAGAACATGCAAACTCCAGGCAGGTGCTGCCATATTTGGGATTTGAACCAACAACCCTAGTACTGCCAGGAGAAAGTGCTAACCATTTAGCCACTGTGCTGTATTGATCACTGTATTATTGTCACTGGGGATGTCAGTGGCAGTTAGTTAGTTCCCACCAAGTTTCAGAATGCCTGCCACAGTCCCGCAGTCTCACTATGAGTCGCTGATTGCTGCAATTACTAGTATTAAAAAAAAATTAAAATTCTAGTATATATACCGCCATTTGTAGATGCTATAACTTTCACATAAACCAATTAATTTACACGTATTGGTATTTTTTTTTTAGCTAAGACATGTAGAAGAATACATTCTGGTCTAAATGTATGCCAAAATTAGATTTTTTAAATGTTTTTACTTGATATGTTTTATAGCAAAAGGTCAAAAATATTTTTTTTTCAAAATTGTTAGTCTGTTTATAGCACAAAAAATAAAAAATGTAGAGGTGATCAAATACCACCAAATGAAAGCTCTATTTGTGGGGGAAAAAAGGACACAAATCTCATTTGGGTTCCATGACCACGCAATTGTCAGTTAAGGTAATGCAGTGCAGTATCACAAAAAATGGTCTGGTCAGAAAGGGGGGTAAATCCTTTGGAGGGCAAGTGGTTAAAAGACTAAAAAACAAAATGAAAAAAAATCAAAAACAAAATGCAGCACTAAATCTAAAGACATTACAATGTATTCCATTTTTCTTCTTGGGTTTTGGTCCACTTTACTCATTAATAAACAGCTCGCACAGCCCTGGGTAGAAGCACTTTTGTAGAAGTAGGGAAGTTTCTTCGATAAAGCTTAGTTTCTGCCTCCATCAGTGCTGCCTCCATCAGTGCCACCTCCCCGATCGATCCTCCTCCTGGGGTGGATGAAGTGGAGAGATCAGAGCAGACATCGCACACACAGGCTGGAGAGTGCACTTGTCACACTGGGACTATGCGGCTGCTGTGCTTGTCATTGCTGATCTGTCACCTGGGCTCACTGGGACTATCCTTTCATATCACCATCCTGCACACCAACGATGTCCATGCCCGTGTAGAGCAGACCAGCAGGGACTCGGGAAAGTGTGGCGATCCTCAGAACTGCTATGGAGGGGTGGCGAGGTTCACCAAGATCAAGGAGATCCGTGCCAGCCATCAGAATGTCTTATTACTGGACGGGGGGGGGACCAGTACCAGGGGACTATATGGTTCAATGTGTATGGTGGGAAGGAAGCAGCACACTTCATGAATTCCCTGCAGTACGATGTAATGGTGAGTAGAACTATGAAGGCACATCTCATCTCACTTTATTACATAGATCAAAGGGTGGAGGATTGCAATCGTCCAGGGCAGCCCAGAGTCATGACTTCTTATGGGTACAAAGTGTACAGGGAGAGAATTGCTGTTTACATTGTGATATGAAGTATGCCTAGTGTGTACTGAGGACATTATTCTTCAGTGGTTATGCTAGGTTCAGACATATGCCGTGCAAAGTTGTGCTAGTGCGATTCAGCAGCTGCAGTTCTGTTTGAATACAAATTTGCGTTCCCTGCGTTTTTGGATCTCTTTTTTATAGGTTGACTCTGTGTGTTCAAAAAGCAAGAAGAGCTGGCAACTCCAAAAACCTCATGAAAGCTTTATTAGTAATACAGGAGTGACATAAAAGCATCTGACGCATTTCAGCAAGTAGTCTTATTATATTCTGTGTTCATAGTCTCTCTCTCTTTCTGTCTCCCCCCCAAAGGTGGTCAGTAACAGTGTACACTTATCAAAAACACATTGGAATCGCAATACATATGAACACATAACTGTTTCACATGCATGCAGTTTCACACTCTATGGACCTCGAAATCGGATCGCACAGCTCCAAGTTTGCACATGACCCTTTTCCCTACGTTTTTGGAACTCTCTTCTTCATAGGTTTACTCTGTGTGTTCATAGTCTCGCTGTTCCCCTCTCTCTCTCTCTCTCTCTCTCTCTCTCTCTCTCTCACTCTCTCTCTCTCTCTCCCCCCCTCCCTCTCCCCCCAAAAATGGTCAGTAATAGTGTACACTTATCAGAAACACATTGGAATTGCAATACATATGAACAGGGGCTGACTGACCATTCATAGTATCTCTCTTTCTCTCTCATTCTCTTCCCCTCTCTCTCCAAAAGTGGTCAGTAAGAGTGTACACTCTATGGACCTCGAAAGCGGATTGTACAGCTCCAAATTCACACATGACCCTTTTTTCAAAACGCACTGCAGCAGGACTGTACATACACTATATTGCCAAAAGTATTGGGATGCCTGCCTTTACACGCACATGAAATTTAATGACATCACAGTCTTAGTCCATAG